ATTTATCTCTCTTTTGTTTTTATTTATATTATGGACGTTATGAATGTTGAAGAAAATTACCCAAGCTGAACCAAGTGGGTCTATCAGTGTAAGTGCTCCCTTATTACATTGAGAGCACGAGTATATATATTTTTTGCACCCTAATATATATTTTTTTGCACCGTATAAAAAAAAATAACCATTTGTTTGGTTTTTGCACAATAATTTCTTTCTTATTACCAGGCACTTGAAAATAAGTTTTTATATCACAATTTGTGATTATTGTCAAATATTGCACATTTTGTTTTAAAGACACAGTGCACCCTCTTTTTATGAATTGATTGCACTATTTGATAAACTTTTTGTGCGCCTAGGACATAGGTCATACATTGTGTTTTACTACTTTGTATATGCATTGTATACCATTTTTATATATCGTATTTGTAGAACTTTAAGAGGGGTTTCTGTCGTTTAGGCTGCTCTATAGAACACTTATTTAAGATTGCACCCTATTTGGCTATATAAGTACATGAAACTATAGTTGACTTGGTCCCTAAAGGGTTAAGAGAAAACCATCAGCCATACAGTAGCTTATCATCTGATATGTAAGAATCAGCACTGTGGAATATAATGGGTTTATGGGATAATAGGAGTAAATGATAGAGTAATCATGAGTTAACAGAGAATACATTGATACCAATATTGCAGATGTCAATACCGTACATATAGAAACATAAATAGCAGTGGACGATAATGGAGAAAATTACCTTATCAATCAACTAAGAAAAAATGCACAATCTATTCATAATGTTGCAACCAAGAGTAGCAGCCGGCCATGGAGAGAAAAAGAAACCCAACATTGTCAATATTGAACATGTCGGCTAGATATGACTAAAAGTTGCTAAATACTACAATAGAGCATTGGTAGAGGTTTGTGCGAACTTTAAAGTGGAATTGTCACAAGTGTATTATTGCCTAACCCCGTAGCTAACTAAAATCGCGTTGTTTGTTCATTTTTTTTAATTATTATTATTCATTTTATAATTTATCGTATGCTTGTTATCCTGGCACAGTTAGTACATGTCAAATACTAGTATAAGAGCCATTCCTGCAGTTAGCCATGTATGTGATACCTGTTATCACTTACATTTATAGTATGGGTCCAAAGAAAACACATCAGACCGTTAATACTCTGATTCACACAAAATATATCGCAAAGTTCATAAACACACTACTGTTGGATAGTTTTTTGGGATGTTTATAAATGCAAAACACTGACATAAATTTGTCAAACAGTACATGTATCTACAAACCACAACACCAATATTAGCAAAATTCTGATGAATGCCTTGTTCCTAACCTCTTTCCCTGTGTTCCAATATCTGTTCTCAGATCCAAATGTATTTGGATTACCTACTCAAGGAAAATTAAACAACCACTACTTCCTGGCAAGAGTTTAACACAGTTCATGGCCACGAATCTTAAATAAGAGGGATATAGGTTTAAAAATAATATCAGGAAGTATTACTTTACTGAGAGGGTAGTGGATGCATGGAATAGCCTTCCAGCTGAAGTGGTAGAGGTTAACACAGTAAAGGAGTTTAAGCATGCGTGGGATAGGCATAAGGCTATCCAAACTATAAGATAAGGCTAGGGACTAATGAAAGTATTTAGAAAATTGGGCAGACTAGATGGGCCGAATGGTTCTTATCCGCCGTCACATTCTATGTTTCTATGTTTCTATGTAAGAGGCTGAGCGGATACCGAAATTAAAGTACAAGCCAGCGCATAACCTGCAAATGAATTTAATCTTTAAAGTGCCCAATGCCAGAGTGTACATGCAACTCACATAAAATTATTGTGCATGTTATTTTTGCATGATGAATAAATACTTACATACACAAAAGTAAATCTTCGTATAATTTCTTAAAGAAAACACATTGAAAACATATTCATTGTTCCAAATTTCTCAAAATCAGATCAATATTAATCCGATTTTTAGAAATTTGGTAAGACTGTTGATCAAAGGAACAAAATATAAATGGAAGATTGCGACGGTGGCGAAATACCAAGCACAAAATATAACACTCAGAGGGTTACATTTAAAAAAAAAAAAAAAAAATATTTACAAAAATCCAGTAGACAATTAGCCGTGATGAAATATTTTATTAAAAACCTCTTAAATAATTTAAGTGAAAGGGAGGATAATTTTATATATACTGCTCTGCAACACAAGTCTAACTTTTTTTTTTATCAAAGTATGCATAAAAAAGCAATATAAAAGTGTTTGAGAAAGCAGTTTTAAAGAATTTTAATAAAATATCTGGTGGGAGTAGAATATGTACTTAATAGTAATTGGTAATTAGTATTAATAAAATGGTAATTAAACCAGCAGTTAAGGAAGGGAGTCTAGATATTGTAGACGTGGCAAAATATAAAGGATTCTCAGAAATTAGGAAATCTTTAACCAAGTTTGAAAAATGAATATTTTATTTAAGACATGGAGGCTACTATAACGCTTTGTCTTTCTTTTATTTTTCTCAGCGGCAAAGAAAAAATTAGGAATCACATAAAAGTGGGATAAAACTGCATATAAACATCTTAACAATCACCAATGAGTATGATCCATAAAGGGTGTGACATTATCTCTTTCTTAGATGTTCCCTCAGACAGTTACGTACACCTCAATGTTCTCCCATTTTGTGACTGTATTTTTGTGACTCTTATATGTTGTGTTTAAATAGTTTTCTGTTCTATTTATTGTGTTGTTTACATCTTCCTTTTCCTCTATCTGGTCTTTGGGATTCCTACTATTTTCTTTTTTATATACAATGCCATAAATAAGGAAGCTTTATACCAATTTTACAAAATATAGATTAAGGAGCAGCACATTTACAAAAAATACTGTTACATTTTGTAAGGCTACTTAAAATCTCCTAACTTAGCAAACAAATATAGGGATTCAGTTACACCATATGTCCCTATTGTGTTAAGCCCACCACTATGTCCCAGTTCCCCAATATCGGTGGTTTTTACCCTCATTCTAACATGGGAGCTGAACATGCTAGCTGCAATAGTCACTGTTTAAACGACTTCCAAAGACTTTCCTCAAATTTACGCTTTATACCAATTTTACGTCATTGTTTTCAATTAAATAAAAAATAAAAATTATAGATTATATATAGTGTATATAATTTTTCTTTAAATTAAAATCTCACACTTTTTCATATTGGAAAGTAACAGATACAATGCTTGCTTGGTTCTTTGCTTGAAATTACTTTTATATTAGCAATTAAATTCAATTAAAGGATCACTAAAGGGTCAGGAACACAAACATGTATTTCTTATCCCATAGCGAAAACCCACCATTTAGGTGGCTCGCCCTCTCCTTAGCCCCCTCAGAATGGGTTAAAGCTCACCTTATTTCCAGCTCTCCATGGGTCCTCCAGCGCTGGCCCTGAATCAATGCATCTCTATGAGGAAAATTCAGCCTCTTCATGCAGAGCTTGGGGACCTGTGCTGGAAAGCTTGTGGAAACAAGGGCACCTATCTACACCTTCGGTGGGAATTTCCGAGCTTTTGGCTTAGGGTTTTACACCTAATCTCCCGAGTCTTGCACACAGATATCCCCAAGAACCCTTGGATCTGGTTACTATCCAAACCACACAGCAATCTAACTAGAGCCCAGAACAAACTGGTAGCTAGAATAGCCATACCCACAGGGAGAGCTATTGAAGAACAATGGGGAAAAACAAATATCCCATCATTGGCAGGGGTACTATGCAAAGTGCATGACACAGTGGAGATGGACAGACTATTAGCCTTGATTCATGAAACCACAAAGCATTTCCACAAAATACGTGAACCCTGGCTCATAGACTACCCAAACCTCCAATGAGGTAACAAGGAGCTTGTCAGATGTTGGAACCCCCTAATTATTATTATTTTTTTCTCAGTATGAATTAGTGAATTACTCCCTTCGCAGGGCTGCATATTTCAAGATTACTAAAATAATATAACCTCGCAACAATTGTCAGATTTCACACAAACATACATAATAAATGTTATCAATATGTTTCCATCTTGTTACACAAAAACTTACATTGCCGTTAAGTTCGATAAGTGGCAGCCTGAAACGACAATCAAGTCTACCCATTGTACACCGCGATATGTATTACTTCTTATGAGTTATTTATTTTTTATTATATTTTTTTATTCTATGCTGAATCCAAAAGCTAACATTACAATGTGAACCCTACTTTTTCAGGCACTTATGACTGTATTGTTTCACATATTGCTCACTTTTTACCAATAGAATTCAAAATAAAAATGTAAATTAAAAAAGAAAGGCCAATGCTAAACATTTTTTTGAAAATGAAAGAAAAATAAGGAGCAGAGATGCAGAGAATTCATTTAATCCGTTCATCCTGCTAGTGTAAATGTACACCAAAGGTCTCTGCCTTAAATCATATGAAAAGTATGCAAATTATAGCCTTTTCATACAGAGAAAAAATGTGTGTGTTCATTACTGTACTGACATTCATTAACCCCAAAAATACAATGGTATGTGGCCTGAGCTGGGGTTATATATTTGGGAAATGTAACTGGCAGCTCCAAATATTAGTTTGAAGCCTATCATTGACATGAAAAACCATCATCATGAGAGTTCGACAAAACCTAAAAAAGGGAGCATGAACTCATCTACATAGTATGCACTTTAATCAATTAAAGATTATATTTCACATATAAATCATTGTAACATACAGAGTAAAGTATTACAAATGGGAAAGTACAAATAAAACTGGGCGCGTGTGTGTATTGCTCTTAAAGTCAGTGAACGTGGTCTATATCCCACCACATCAATGACTGAATCCTTACAGAGAATCATAATTAGTAAGCTGACCCAAAGGCTAATCATTAATTTTAGAGAGCAAAAAATGGGTCGCAAGAGTATTCTGAGGACGGACAGCAGCTAAAATAGCCTGCCCTTCGGTGGGTCCCCGCTCAGAACTCAAGCTGGTTTTAGCTCAACTTGTGCCATTACAGAGAGAACATATCTGAAGCATATCAGACTGGTCCCACCCATACGAGCAGTCCAGATCCGAAATGCCAGCAAGTTCTCTCTGCACGAGAGATACAGCAACCCCAGACGATCGTTTCAGCCTTGTTAGGCATCGTCAGTGAGGCATAGCTGATATCTCTCTAGGCACCGTGAGCAAGAATACTCAGAATACTCTTGCAACCCATTTTTGCTCTCCATTAGTTTAAAGGGTAATCCAGACGTGGACCCCTTGCTCACGGTGCCTAGAGAGATACCAGCTATGCCTCACTGATGATGCCTAACAAGGCTGAAACGATCGTCTGGGGTTGCTGTATCTCTCGTGCAGAGAGAACTTGCTGGCATTTCGGATCTGGACTGCCCGTATGGGTGGGACCAGTCTGATATGCTTCAGATATGTTCTCTGTAATGGCACAAGTTGAGCTAAAACCAGCTTGAGTTCTGAGCGGGGACCCACCGAAGGGCAGGCTATTTTAGCGGCTGTCTGTTCTCAGAATACTCTTGCGACCCATTTTTGCTCTCCATTAGTTTAAAGGGTAATCCAGACGTGGACCCCTTGCTCACGGTGCCTAGAGAGATACCAGCTATGCCTCACTGATGATGCCTAACAAGGCTGAAACGATCGTCTGGGGTTGCTGTATCTCTCGTGCAGAGAGAACTTGCTGGCATTTCGGATCTGGACTGCCCGTATGGGTGGGACCAGTCTGATATGCTTCAGATATGTTCTCTCTGTAATGGCACAAGTTGAGCTAAAACCAGCTTGAGTTCTGAGCGGGGACCCACCGAAGGGCAGGCTATTTTAGCTGCTGTCCGTTCTCAGAATACTCTTGCGACCCATTTTTTGCTCTCCATTAGTTTAAAGGGTAATCCAGACGTGGACCCCTTGCTCACGGTGCCTAGAGAGATATCAGCTATGCCTCACTGACGATGCCTAACAAGGCTGAAACGATCGTCTGGGGTTGCTGTATCTCTCGTGCAGAGAGAACTTGCTGGCATTTCGGATCTGGACTGCCCGTATGGGTGGGACCAGTCTGATATGCTTCAGATATGTTCTCTCTGTAATGGCACAAGATGAGCTAAAACCAGCTTGAGTTCTGAGCGGGGACCCACCGAAGGGCAGGCTATTTTAGCTGCTGTCTGTCCTCAGAATACTCTTGCGACCCATTTTTTGCTCTCCATTAGTTTAAAGGGTAATCCAGACGTGGACCCCTTGCTCACGGTGCCTAGAGAGATATCAGCTATGCCTCACTGACGATGCCTAACAAGGCTGAAACGATCGTCTGGGGTTGCTGTATCTCTCGTGCAGAGAGAACTTGCTGGCATTTCGGATCTGGACTGCCCGTATGGGTGGGACCAGTCTGATATGCTTCAGATATGTTCTCTCTGTAATGGCACAAGTTGAGCTAAAACCAGCTTGAATTCTGAGCGGGGACCCACCGAAGGGCAGGCTATTTTAGCGGCTGTCTGTTCTCAGAATACTCTTGCGACCCATTTTTGCTAATCATTAATTTTAATCTATAGTGTATCCCTTTATGTCCATGTGGTATTCTCTACTTAATTAAAAGACAGTTTTACCATTGATAAATCTAAGGCAGAAGAGGAGGTGAGCTCTGAAGTGTTAAAGCTACAAACTGGGTTTCCAGTAAACACACAAATGTTTTGTTCTGATATCTTTTGGGGAAATATTTTGTTATTGGCTTAGGTCTTCTTTGTACAGTCATGATGTTCCAGGGATTATCTAAAATAAAATTAAGACCATTGTGTTATAAAATTGTTCAAAATAAATGATTGAATAATATTCTTGACCAGGGTAGGCAATCTATGACAAGTAAGGCTGCCAGACCCAAATGTGCCAGTTAGGAAGTTTGGAGGATATCCCTAGCCGGCCCACATGAGTTCCCCCACATCGGAGCACAGTCTGCACCTCCAACGTGTTCAAACAGGACACGCTCTTCCCAGTGATTCATCACATTGCTGTGGGTTACCATTGCAATGCTGTGACTCACTAGTTGTCAGGATGAACCAGTGGCCCAACAGGCAAAATTAAGTAAAACACTTAACAAATACAAACAGTAGCAACATAATACCGGACCTTAGAATGGCCAGAATTAACATAATAGAATAAACAGTCACGAGCAGAAAGGAACAGATACGGAAAGAACAAAGCCAAAGGATCAGGGATACCAGAAATACAGGAAGTCAAGCCACGATCAAAAACTAATAATCAGAATCAGGAACGCGCTCTCGGATAACCAACAGGATGGAAACCGTGACAGGGCAATGAACAACTGCAGGTTTGGGTTTAAATATTACAGTAAATCCTGCTATTGGCTGATTTGGGTCCTATGACCCCAGAACGTGCATGCATGGCGAAAACATGACGCCGCACGTACGTTGACATCACTAGTGACGTCATTGTGGGTGGCGCTATAAATTAGAGCCATCTTGCAGCAGCCGGCTTCCCTCTCAACACTGGACCCAGCCGCCGATCCACTAGCTGCACGGAGGGAGAGGCTCTGGGGGTGAGGTGAGTAACCTCTACCTCCCTTAGTGCGACTGAGCCAATCAGGCGCGGCCACACTGGTGCCGATTGGGCACTGTGATAATCTGACTGTACCGATCAGGTGCAGTCACACTGAGGTGCCGATCAGGCACCGTAACACTAGTAAAGCGTCTGCCAAGTAACACCAGTGTGAGAGATTTCTCAGTGGTCTGCAGACTAGGTGTAGACCGAGTGTTCCACCACTGGACCACTAGGCATTAATGAGGAATCATACCCACCTCCCTGGACACGGCTGGCAGACGGGAGGTGGGCAAAAAAATAAGTTTTAATAACTTTATGTGACTAAAGCGCTCTTCACACAGCACCTCTGCAAACAGCCCCTAAACACAATGTACACAGAACACTACAGACAGCACACTCATACACAACCCCACAAGTGAGGTAAGGTAACCCTCCAGATCCAGATGTGTGTGAAGGTCAGCATCAACAAGCCATGAACTTGGAAGCTCTGGGAGTCCCAATCCTTCCCATTTTGGGACAAGCAGAGGGTCTTGCTGGAGGGCCCTCCGTCTTTGTGGGTGATGCTTTGGGGCTAGGCCCCTGGTGATCTTCACCCTGGGAGGGCTGTATTGGTGCTTGAATAGAGGCTCTGCCCATAGGAAGCCCTCTAACCTCATAGTCCTCTTGAGATTGAATGGATGGTGTTGCTGTGTGGCTCTTCAGGTTTGCCCAAAAGCGAGTAAAGATCTCTTCCAGCCATCTTATTGACTGATGCAGTGCATTAGGAGGATCCCTGTCATGCTGCTGTGAACTCATATAAAGTAGGCGCATCCACCATCTTGGAAAACTCTTCAGAGCTTATTGTGCGGCTATGTGAATGCCCTACGACTTCAGGAGATTCTGTCATGGTGTTTTGGTAAGTGACTCTAGCGGGGACCAGGATAACACTCCCTGGTCCAGATGAGGGTCCACAGGACCGTTGTAGAAGCTCTGTCCAGAGCCCTTATTGGGAGATCGTCTGCCTCCCCTGGTCCTCAGGCTTCGCAACAAAGTAGGCCGGATAGCCGGCCACTGCGGTCTGTTGGCACAGCAGTGTGGATCGGGTATCCACGTGTTACCATACAGGGGCAGTTCAGTACTCCGTGGATACAGAGCTGCTTCCACTGCAGGTTAGTTGTATTAAGCTTAAGTTATGCTTGTAGGCGCCAGAGCTATTAGCAAGAACATTGGGCCATCTTGGCTGTCAGGCCCTGCCCCCTATTCATTTTTTTTTATGGGTCCTCCTTTTTTCCCCTCTAATGGTCACTTCTCACTTGACCTGCAGATAAAATCATCATTTAGTGGCTATCCCCTAACCATCAATTATTTTTTTTCCACCTCTTGATTGGACAAGAGATGTAGCCCCAATCTTTGGACAGACCTCTTGCCCATCATGACAAACTAAGCTATCTATTTTCCATCTCTTAAAAAAATCAGCTTCCTCTCTATCCATTTGTCCTCTTTTATTTGGTGTGAGAAACAGAACAATGAATCTCAAAGCAACCGAACATGCTAGTCATTTGATTGGTTTGCTGGGCCATTGAACCCAAAGTCTCTCAAAGCAAATGCACAAGTCTACTGGCAATATCAGTTTTGTGCAATTTTTGTGAATGCTGTCCACACATACAAGTATATAAAAATATATATATATATATTATTTTTTTTTTTAAACTCCCTATCTCTCCGATTAGAATTGGACTAGAGATTTGTATATTGAGTTCATAATGAAAAGCATTCGATTGGACATTGCCCAGCACTAACAAGGAAGTAGGGAAGGCAAGAAGGGAGTGTATATATTTAGGGACACGTTAGTCACCCAGACCACTTCAGCTCATTAAAGTGGTCTGTGTGCAATGTCCCTGTCCCACTTTGTCCTGCAATGTAAAACATTGCAATTTTAGATAAACTGCAATGATTACTTTGAAGGACTAAGACTGTCTCTTGTGGCTGTCAATCAGACAGCCACTAGAGGCACTTCCTGAATGTTAATGGATCTAGGTACTGGACGTTCTCATGGTCTGCATGAGGACATCCGGCATCAGTGAAATCCCTATTGGAAAACATTAAGGCAATATTATCCTATCAGGAGGGCCTAATGTGCATGTTCACAGAGGGTGCTATATTGTTAGGAATACAATTATGTATTCCTAACACTATAGTATCCCTTTAACTGCAGAGGTCAGTTGTGTAGCTAATTAAAAAGTATGGTCTTGATTTAATATTGTTGGATAAGCTTTTTCTACATATTTAATAGTTTTGCATAATGTTTAAACCCTTAAGGACCAAACTTCTGGAATAAAAAGGAAACATGACATGTCACACATGTCATGTGTCCTTAAGGGGTTAAAATATATATTTTTTAAATATTAAAATATATGAAATTTGCGGGCGGCGGTGATGTACCTAATGCAATGTGCCTAAAGCAACACACGTACCGAAGGCATGCTTAGAAACGCACTGTATGGAACCGTCTACCCCACAGGGGTCATTGTACAAAATGTGAATTACATGTACCCCCTGCACCCCCTTAACCCCACCTTTTCTTTCTGTATCCCTTTTACTACACCTGACAAATAAAAATTGTCAAATATATATATATGAAATATATAAAAGGTAGGTATATAGATATC